GGGACCGGTCTCTAAATTTTCCTTAAAAAAATAGAGGTCTTAACTACTTATTAGTAAAATTATAAACAGACTTATTCTCAAATAAATTTCTTTGACAAACTAAACACATTATAAGTCTTTCAGGATGACTCAACCCCAACCCCAATTTTCACATTTTTAAATTGTTGTACCGGGTCGCCAATGACATGACAAACATAGAATAATGATCCACTAACGTTAGTCATGGTAAGTAGACCACTAAACTCTCAATTAGTGGAATAATGGTGTATTAACTTTTGTTTAATAGAATTACTATCCACTAAACTCTTTCTTTACTCTTTGATGATAAGGTAAATCCTCTTCTTCTCGCACCTGCTATTCGCTAAGTGGCTCCACTAATACAAATGCTCCACTTCCTGTCCCTGCTATATGGTGAGTAGGTCTCATGACTAACTATTAGAGATACGATGAGATCCATTTAGGTTGAACAACGGATCTTGTCATAGGATTTGTTCTTAATAACTTTGTTACAGAATCATCTAACGTCACATAATACTATATAATAAGTGCTATTAGTGATAACCTCATGCGATGCACGATACTTTCAATCATTCCCCGCCACCATCTTACCCCCACCCCCACCCTATAATTGAACAATTACGTTGTAATTTAATTTTATTAAAAAATTAAACGTTGAATAAGTTAACAAAGATGATAAAAAAATTTAATTTAACTTAATTTTAAAAGATGATATAAGTAGTTAGATAAGTCACGAAAGGATTTAATTGGATAAGTTAGATAATTCAAAATTAAGAGAAACTATTATTTTAGGAGGGAATAAATTAATTGATATAATATATAGTAAGATATAGATAAGGACATAAGTTTGAAAGATAATTGATAAGAGTAAAGAGTTATCCTTATCAAAAAGAAATAAAAATTAAAAGAACACAATGAGGAGAAGCCACCTAACATTACTAAAAATTCTAATGGCTAATAGTATTTTTACTCCCAAAAGTATACACGTTTTGTCAGTTTGGTCCACGTTTTATTTAAATTATGTTTAAATGACCCCTACATAGATTGCCCCATTAAGTTTTTACTGGATGTGATCACGTCACCTGAAATTGTCTAGAAGAATGACACGTGTTCACTTTCATCAAAAAACTTAACGAATTATGGGATTAGAGATCATTTGAACACAAATTAAATATTTTAGAAACCACATTGATAAAATTAATATAACGAGAACCAAACTGACAACATATATGTAAATGACATCCAAAATGACGAGAGTACCCCAAATAGGGCCAGAGTCTTGCATTCATGTATGGTACTTTCGTCTTTTTCAAATTGATACTATTTATTAACCTCTAATCCAAACATAGGATTGATATTATGACAAAGTAGTGGATCAATTACTATTACTGACATAGATTGAATTGTAAACAATTGTCTAGTTTCATCTCTTGTTTTAGTCCAACCAAACATGCCCTCTTGTGTGTATGGTTTAAAGATATTACCTCAAAAAAGTTATAAGGTGAAATCAGATGATATATGGAGGCATAGATTAATTGATTTGATTGATGATACCAAAAATAATATTAGAAATAATTGGAAGGATATCTCCATGTCTCATCTGCGACAAGGTTCAATAATAAGGTCTAACCTCCGACCTCTAGTCGCACATCCAACCTCAGGCAAAAGTGTCTAGCTCGTCCACGTACGTCCTCGAGCAAGGGTGACCAGGTCGTCTATATCATCTCACGAGGAAGTTCAATATTTTCATTTCAGGCCAGGAGTATAGATCGAGTTCCTTTATTCATGAGTTGTCCAAAAGAATAAGAGGTCATCTCAAACAGTATGACCTCTTACAAATGGAAGATCAAGCCTATCCAAGCTTAGAGATATGTCACGATGTCACTTTAGCATGTTCTAGAATGCCACATTAGTATGGTGTAGAAGATCACATCACACCTAAGAAATGTAATCTCTAACAACCAAGTGATTTCCTACCAAAATCCTAACAAACTTAGGGGTCATGTGATGATGACGTGAAGACCACCCCCTACTTGTGGTTATAAATGCAAGAGGCAAGCCTTTATACAAGATAGATTGTAATCTCAACAGCTATAATATTCATCTTCTTCCTCAAGTAGTAGAAAAATCGTTTAGGAGCAAGAGACTTCATTAGAGGAAATTAATCAAGTTCTTCAGCTGATGAATCACTATATTTCTCATAGCATACTACCTTACACTTCCCATAGCATACTACAGAGCCTCTAGGCTCTGCTATTAACTATTCACCCACTCCCCATTCTTACCACAATCACTAGTCCACAACCTTGAGCTTCTCAGGTTAAACACCTTGCTCACTCCTTTGAGTTACAACACCATCAATGGTAATGTTCAAACGCAATATTCTTGCAAGCTCTCATTAACTATAGATCGAATTTTGGAGTATGTATATGGGAAATTAAGGCCACTTTTGAACGATCCTAGCCTTTTAGCGTAACTGACGTTCCGTTCACTTGGACTGAATATAGAAATTAATTTCAAGTTTTACTTGGGTTAATTGTAAGTACACTATCAAAATGGTCTAAATTGTCATTTCAGATACATGTTTCGATTAGTTAAAAAAACAGGAATGTATTAAAAACAATTGAAATAAATTTTCGCTTGCCTTGTAGAGGTGAGTTTTCTTTAATGATTGACAAAGATAGAATTTCTATACATTCATAATGAAGCTTATGTTTTCAACACATTCGTACCTGATGTTAGCAGTTGGCTTAGCCACTGTTTTTGATATTAGACCTTAAGATCACAGGTTCAAATTTCGTTGTTTCTTCCCTCCCACCTCTGTAACTTTGCATGACTAAAAAAAACCCGTCCATACCCATTTAAGTCTTTAGGCTACGATCCTCACCTTTCGTCTCGTTGCAGTCTCAAACTTTGGTGAGTCCGAATCAGACAAGGACTAAATCGTGGACGACTCACTATAAGAANACCACCCCTGTAACTTTGCATGACTAAAAAAAACCCGTCCATACCCATTGAAGTCTTTAGGCTACGATCCTCACCTTTCGTCTCGTTGCAGTCTCAAACTTTGGTGAGTCCGAATCAGACAAGGACTAAATCGTGGACGACTCACTATAAGAATAGATCTGTAGATTGATTGAAATGTTCAATTTACTTGATTTACGGTATGTTTATTATTTTTGATACTTTTCATGTGGATTATTAATTATATGAACTTGGATATATCTATTTACAAGTTATCTATTGATCGATATGCTAAGAATATGTTTGCTTTGGCAAATTGATTTGAGTTACAATTATGATGCATATTAAATTGACGCCTGATGTAGTTGTTGAATTGAATTTGTGAATTAGTGGTCTGTATTGTCAATTGCATATGCATCTGAATGTGTAAATACCAAATCAATGGATTGCGGCTAACATATCCATCCTCTGCTATCAAAGTAGTCCTGTTTGTTAGGAATAAAGGTGTCAAACATGCCGTGTTGATCGTGTTCGTGTCATGTCATTTACGGATTTGTGTCGAGCATTGGTCAATGTGAACTCAACCCATTTAATTAATTATGTCGTATGTCGACCCGACCTATTTATTTTTTTGTCATGTTCGTATTGATCCATATAACTTATGAATCAAAAATTTAACACTAAAATTTGATTGCCAAAGAGCAACGGTCACAATGCACCACTTCTTTAACATGGCATGCAATACAAACCCAAAAACACGAGCCACACAAAAACAAAAAAGATCATGGAAACCAGTGACCAAACACGAGCCACACAGTCCTCCCTCAATGTTTCCCTTCAGTTCCGATCAATTTCTTCTTGATTACCAGCAACTTAGTTACAATTTCTTTGGTGTTCAACCTTTCACTTGGAGTTTCTTCTGAACACGCGTGTCCAATTCGAAATATTGAAATCAAGCACTCCTGAATTTTGTAACTAGTAGCACGGCTCTCTTTCTAAGGCCGGGGATTTGTGCTCGTCTCTCCCACTTCGTCGTGTCGAATAAGCCCTGAATCAGCAACATCTGCTACTCTTTCCGGCAAAACCATCCTAACATAATTATGAAGGTTCAAATTGTCATCAAACATCTCATCAGTAGGCCTCTTTCATATAAACATCTCCAACAATACGATGCCTTAGTTGTACACATCCCCACGCATCGACGGCTCACTTCCCAAGCCATACTCTAAAATCCAAATACCACAGTGTAAAAAAATAAATGTAAAGAAATTTGATCAGAAGTTTGTCAAAAATGGACAAACTTAATTAGCTATGTACTTTTTACTCAAAATACAAAAAACTGTACAATTAGTTTTACAAGTATTCAGCTATTAAATCATTAAATTTAAAACCGGATGATAATGATGGGAGGGGAGAGAAAAAAAAATGAGTTGAGGGAACTATATACTAGACCGGAGGATGTTATTATATCGACGTGAGACAACTATCAGATTGTTGTTTGAAGATAACATGGTGTAGTGCTTAATTTCCTTCATAAAAATGCCACCACTATTTTTCTATCTTGGGGGACTAAGACAAAACTAGAAAAAGCATGAACAGAGAAGTAAGTCAAAGCTGTACATAAGTAATAGGCTACAATAATTAGAAGGTTGTTTAGTAATGCTTCTCAGAATTCGAGTGACGGAGCACACTCTCGGACAAAAGCTACTTACAAAATGTACTTAAAAAGAGCAAAAAAAGTGGGCATAAAGTATTACTATTGAAACATTAGCCTCTTCTAGTTAGAGAAGCACACATTTCGGGGGGTAGAAATTTGTTGTATATTTGGAAAAGTAATGAATACAACGAAGAAAGCATACTTACCTGGTGCAACATAACCAATGGATCCTCTTAGTCCAATTGAACTACTTGTTTGTTGTGCAGAGTTGCTATAACTAGCATTCAGAAGAGATCGTGCTAACCCAAAGTCACCAACATGTGCAACCTTGTCTTTGTTGAGAAGAATGTTGTTTGGCTTCAAGTCACAGTGAATTATTGGAGTGTGGCAATGATGATGAAGATAATTCAGAGCGTAAGTTACATTTAAGCCAACATTCAATCTCTGAAGAAGACTTAAATTTTTGGACTCCCCACTTGGCTCGTATTCTCCTTGAACTCATAAACCAGTGCTTTAAAATCATTCCCTTGGTAATCGGCACCTGAACATGCAGTGACTACGTTGACAAGATTTCGATGTCCAATGTTCCTCAAGGCCTCGCACTCGGAAAGAAAACTCTTGGAAGCCCCTTGGTGAGAAAGGTTAAGGACCTTTACGGCAACTACACTTTCATTTCCATTCTGGTCCTCAAGAACTCCTTTATACACAGAACCATAACTACCCTCACCGTAAATTTCCTAATGAGAACCCATTAGTAGCTTTTAGGAGACTCTGAAAAGACATTTTAAAGAGGGAATTTCTGGAAAATCTGAAGATGTCGCTTTTCTTGGCTTCCTAAACCAGTAAAGATAGATAAAGTACAACGCCAAAATTACTCTTAGAAGCCACAAGAAAAAAGAAACTACTAATTTAACAATGAAAGTTGGCCTACTTTTCTTCAACTCTTTAATCTTGCATCTAGGTAATCGTAATTTAGGTACCCCCCACAAAGCTTACTATTTCCCATAACATATGTTGCGCTTGCATATTTGAAAATGCCTTTGATTGGTACCTCACTATCAAAGTCATTGAAAGATAGATTTAGCTCCTTCAGTTGAAAACCTATCAAATATTCTGAAATTTTTTTTGACAAATTATTGCGTGAGAGATCCAATTCTTGAATACCTCTCGAAAAACTTAAAGACGAAGGAATAGGCCCTCGGAAGGAGTTTCTTTGCTTGTAAAGGACTTGTAACATTACACAACTACTAAGTGTGCTCGGAATTTCATCAGATAACATATTGTCAGAAACGGCCAATTGACCTAAACTTTTCAAGTTTCCCTCCTCCGGGGGAAGGGAACCACTCAAATTGTTTTGAGATAGATCTAGGTATATCGATAAGGATGAGAGACAAAGAACCTCCAGAGGTATGGTGCCACAAAAATTGTTAGCAAAAAGATCCAACGATAACAAATTCTTCCATTTTCCCAAACTTGAGGGGATGCTGCCCTGAAAGTTGTTTTCACTTATCCTGAAGTCGAGTAGAAGGCTTAAGTTTCCAACGGAGAATGGAATAAAACCAGTAAATTTGTTTCTATCAAAAAACCATACATTTAGCTTTTTAAGTTTACCAATATCAGGTGGGATGTTGCCTATGAGTTGGCTGACAGACAGAACTAGAGAATTCAAGTTTATAAGACTTCCTATCCCAGCTGGAATGCTTCCAACTATATAATTGTCATTAAGACAGAATACTTCGAGCATTGTTGACAAGTTGCAGATGGATTCGGGAAGTCTTCCACCAAACTTATTATGGTACAGATTCAACTCCGTTAAGTGGGTGGCATTTGTCAAAGAAGAGAGAAAGCCCAAGTTGTCTGGTCCACCACTTCCAAAACTGTTCCAACCAATGTCTACAAACCGAAGCTTATGTAGCTTTTCCATAGTTAGCACTTTTCCATTAAAATTGTTGAAACTGATTAAAATAACTTCTAGATTTTAGGCATTGGTTATTGAATTAGGGATTGACCCAGTAAATTGGTCACCACTTACGCCAAGAAATTGAAGATTAGGAAGAGTGATGCCTATATCAAAGGGAAGGCTACCATGCAGGTGCTTATTATCTGTCACATCAAAACCTGTGAGGGAAGAGAGATTAAGATTGACGGAGGGATGGCACCAGACAATCTACTTCCGTCTAATGCAATCACTGTCAAGTTGCCCAGATGACCAAGAGAATCGGGGATACTTCCACGAAAACTATTTCCTGATGCATAAAGCTCGTTAAGAGATGTTAAGTTTGCAAAAGAATGAGGAATATCTCCAGTTAGACCATTGAATTGGATTACAATTTTTGTGAGCTTTCACAATGAGCCTAGCTCTACAGGAACTGCCCCTACCAGCTTGTTGAAACCAAATTTGAAGTAAATAAGACTAGAGCAACTAGATAAGTTGGCAGGAATATTGCCACTAAACGAATTATTATGTAGGTCTAAAATTTTCAGCCTTGACAAACGTCCAAGTTCTGAGGGGATTTCATGAACAAGACTGTGGTTTTGGAAATCTAGTTCTCTAAGGAAGCTTAGATTCCCGATGTGTGGCGGCATGGTCCCAAATAATGCTTGGTAACGAAGGTCCAACTTGGTGACCCTTTGGTGGCGTCAAGCACATGTAACACCGTGCCATTCGCAGAAGGGGGCTGATCCATTCCATGAGCTCAGAACCTCGAAGGGATCATCAATTATGTTTGCCTTGAATGCAAGCAAAGCAAAGAAATTACAAGTGCTCAGGAACTAATATAAAACATGGATATCAATCATTCCATAACTTGCAACAATTAAACTATATTAGATGTTGCACCTGTGCTTGGATTTAAGTTTTAAGATTCTGAATTCCTCTTTTCCCACAGAATTTAATGAGGAGGAAGAAAAAGGAAGAGAAAATTCCCAAACTGTAACCACCCAGATAAGTGAAGAAGACATTCAGTCCCCTGGCTGGATTTTTATGCACTTGCTTCCCCCAATTTCTCTTAAAAATGCAAGTCGACATGGTACCAGGAAAGATAGACTGTTTGTTGCCTGTGCGACTTCATCCGGACCGAAAATGAGATTAATTAAAATGTGTATAAACTGACCCATATATTCTTGATTGTTAAAAAAAATTCATTAAAAATGACTTGTTCATGTATACCAACGGAAAAATAGCACCGCCCAACTAAAAGCTGCAGGTCTCATGCTCCAGTAGCAAATCTTCGAATCTCCCATACCCGATCTTGGATCCACCGTGACCCACCACTTTGATAAACCATTGCATGCTTTTTTTTCTATTCCAATAAAATTCGTCTCCAAGGTACACCAATCCCTTTAATCACCCAGGAGAAGAGCTTCAACTTTTTCAAGCATGTGAAAGAGTTCAAATGCTTTGGGTGAGTGGGTTCAATTGAAAATATTAATAGAACCTATTCATCTAAAAGATGATATGTACTTGAATTTTATTTAGTCCAACCACAAGGCCAATAACATTCAGGTTTTAGGCTCCATATTTATAAAGTCTCAAAATTTTTAAATGTATAGTTAGTCCAAATAGCATTTCCCGATTACAAAAAAAAATGATTCATAAGATTTTAGACCCCAAAAAATATTTATAATCAAAAATAAATTTGAGTGTTTTGTATTCATGAATCCATCCCATAATATTAAACATACACCAATTTTTTTAAAAAAAAATTTACTAGAGGTCAACCAAAACAGACAACTCATTCGTAATCATCTCTCTCACTCTCTCTCACTTATTCTCTGTTGAACACAAAATTTTTTTTTTTAATTTGTGTTTGGAAAACTATACTAAAATATTTTTAGTATTTTATTTAACTTAAAAAATTAAAATCATAATTGTTTAAAAATATGGTAGCGAAACTTAAACATAAAAACTAATAACATTTTTAATCTCAAAAAAATAGTAAGAATAAATTTTAAATAAAAATTATTAATATTAAAAATAAAAAGTTTCAGTTTTAATTGTGACTTTAGACTNACTAGTGCCTTGAAATCATTCCCTCTGTAATCAACACCTGAACATGCAATGACCACCTTCACAAGATTCCGATGCCTAATGTTTCTCAAGGCCTCACACTCTGCAAGAAAACTTTTGGAAGCCCCTGGACGCAAAAGGTTAAGTACCTTTACGGCAACAATAGTTCCATCCTGATCAAGAACTCCTTTATACATAGAGCTAAAACTACCCATTCCAATTAAATTGTCTGAAGAGAACCCATTAGTAGCTTTTAGGAGACTTTGATAGGACATTTTCAAGAGTGAATTTTCTAGCAAACTTGACGATGTTGCTTGTCTTGACTTCCTATACCAGTAAAGGTATAAAAAACACAGCACCAAAATTACTCCCAGAAGCCCACAAGATAATAGTTTTAAAAATAGTGAAAATTGAGGATAAGTACTCCTAGATGAACTTATAATGACTTGAGTTCTAAAAAGAAACTTATTTGAGAGTCAGTTCATGTTTAAACTTATATGTGAATACTTAAGTAAACTTATTTTTTAAATCTCAAAATTACTCCTAACGGTGTTAGTTTTGTCCAGTTAGGGAAAGTCGCATATGTTAGATCAGTGAGGTATATATGAAAACTCTTGATTGAGTTATATATGAAAACCGTTTATTAAATATTATAATAATTAACAAAAATTTTATATGAAAATTGTATAATCTGATAGTTATATATAAGAATATTAATGTACAAATAAATTGTTTCCTTAACAATAATAATGCATAATATAAGGAGGCTGAATAATGTCAATAGAGTTCAGTAACATGAATGTTAATATATAATAATATTTATATTACTATATGATTGAAGTTACAATTAGGGTCGTGTTACTGTACTGACATTAATGTTACTATAGTAAATTTTAACATACAATTGCAAACTTTGAGACGTATATAATGTAACATACATTATAATATTTACAATAACATCAAAACTTTGTGCTCAACAACACATCTAATTTTACAAAATGCAAAACAATAGTTTTTTCATAGTAACATTAACTTTCGAATAATTTTAGTGAAAATATAATCTACAAATTAAAAATTTACAAAATGACGAGTAGTAACTCATAATCGACAGTTGAATTACGAAACTCAACACTAATTGTGAACATTAAGATATTGAAATTCTGAACTCCATATTTTAGTTTACGTACAGTAACATGAACTTTTTTCATAATAACACAACCAAAGAATACTTGATTGTCTTGCGCAACAAAAAAATCAACAAAATCAAAATCTATAACACTTTAATTTAATATTAATGTATGAGTTCTCTTGGATCTTAGTTACAAGTTTAATGCCCACTTTGACAGAATTATATCCCTAATTGTTATTATTGTTTTACCATGTTACTATTTTTTTATGAGCATGTTACTATTTTTTTAGTTACCATATTACTATCTTTGTTGAGTATATTACTATTATTATTTTTTAAATATTAATATTTTGTTGATGAAGTCTAAAATAAACTGAAATAGTAAATTGAAATTATATTTTATAGAATGTAATGAGTTTGAAATTTGAATATGAATTGTTTTTGATAAATGTCGGTTTCTTGTTTTTCGGATAAAGAAACATTGTGACTTGAAAGATTGTAGCCAGATTTGAAAGCGATTATGAAGGACATATATATGACTGATTACTGTGTCCATAAAACGTCATTTATAACATTCATACCGGGAAGAGTTACAATAGTAAAATTGACAAAAAACGGACTTAAAACCAAATAAGTTTCCTTGACGGACTTATCTCCAAATAAGTTCATATAAGGGGACCGGTCTCTAAATTTTCCTTAAAAAAATAGAGGTCTTAACTACTTATTAGTAAAATTATAAACAGACTTATTCTCAAATAAATTTCTTTGACAAACTAAACACATTATAAGTCTTTCAGGATGACTCAACCCCAACCCCAATTTTCACATTTTTAAATTGTTGTACCGGGTCGCCAATGACATGACAAACATAGAATAATGATCCACTAACGTTAGTCATGGTAAGTAGACCACTAAACTCTCAATTAGTGGAATAATGGTGTATTAACTTTTGTTTAATAGAATAACTATCCACTAAACTCTTTCTTTACTCTTTGATGATAAGGTAAATCCTCTTCTTCTCGCACCTGCTATTCGCTAAGTGGCTCCACTAATACAAATGCTCCACTTCCTGTCCCTGCTATATGGTGAGTAGGTCTCATGACTAACTATTAGAGATACGATGAGATCCATTTAGGTTGAACAACGGATCTTGTCATAGGATTTGTTCTTAATAACTTTGTTACAGAATCATCTAACGTCACATAATACTATATAATAAGTGCTATTAATGATAACCTCATGCGATGCACGATACTTTCAATCATTCCCCGCCACCATCTTACCCCCACCCCCACCCTATAATTGAACAATTACGTTGTAATTTAATTTTATTAAAAAATTAAACGTTGAATAAGTTAACAAAGATGATAAAAAAATTTAATTTAATTTAATTTTAAAAGATGATATAATTAGTTAGATAAGTCACGAAAGGATTTAATTGGATAAGTTAGATAATTCAAAATTAAGAGAAACTATTATTTTAGGAGGGAATAAATTAATTGATATAATATATAGTAAGATATAGATAAGGACCTAAGTTTGAAAGAGAATTGATAAGAGTAAAGAGTTATCCTTATCAAAAAGAAATAAAAATTAAAAGAACCCAATGAGGAGAAGCCACCTAACATTACTAAAAATTCTAATGGCTAATAGTATTTTTACTCCCAAAAGTATACACGTTTTGTCAGTTTGGTCCACGTTTTATTTAAATTATGTTTAAATGACCCCTACATAGATTGCCCCATTAAGTTTTTACTGGATGTGATCACGTCACCTGAAATTGTCTGGAAGAATGACACGTGTTCACTTTCATCAAAAAACTTAACGAATTATGAGATTAGAGATCATTTGAACACAAATTAAATATTTTAGAAACCACATTGATAAAATTAATATAACGAGAACCAAACTGACAAAATATATGTAAATGACATCCAAAATGACGAGAGTACCCCAAATAGGGCCAGAGTCTTGCATTCATGTATGGTACTTTCGTCTTTTTCAAATTGATACTATTTATTAACCTCTAATCCAAACATAGGATTGATATTATGACAAAGTAGTGGATCAATTACTATTACTGACATAGATTGAATTGTAAACAATTGTCTAGTTTCATCTCTTGTTTTAGTCCAACCAAACATGCCCTCTTGTGTGTATGGTTTAAAGATATTACCTCAAAAAAGTTATAAGGTGAAATCAGATGATATATGGAGGCATAGATTAATTGATATGATTGATGATACCAAAAATAATATTAGAAATAATTGGAAGGATATCTCCATGTCTCATCTGCGACAAGGTTCAATAATAAGGTCTAACCTCCGACCTCTAGTCGCACATCCAACCTCAGGCAAAAGTGTCTAGCTCGTCCACGTATGTCCTCGGGCAAGGGTGACCAGGTCGTCTATATCATCTCACGAGGAAGTTCAGTATTTTCATTTCAGGCCAGGAGTATAGATCGAGTTCCTTTATTCATGAGTTGTCCAAAAGAATAAGAGGTCATCTCAAACAGTATGACCTCTTACAAATGGAAGATCAAGCCTATCCAAGCTTAGAGATATGTCACGATGTCACTTTAGCATGTTCTAGAATGCCACATTAGTATGGTCTAGAAGATCACGTCACACCTAAGAAATGTAATCTCTAACAACCAAGTGCTTTCCTACCAAAATCCTAACAAACTTAGGGGTCATGTGATGATGACGTGAAGACCACCCCCTACTTGTGGTTATAAATGCAAGAGGCAAGCCTTTATACAAGATAGATTGTAATCTCAACAGCTATAATATTCATCTTCTTCCTCAAGTAGTAGAAAAATCGTCTAGGAGCAAGAGACTTCATTAAAGGAAATTAGTCAAGTTCTTCAGCTGATGAATCACCATATTTCTCATAGCATACTACCTTACACTTCCCATAGCATACTACAGAGCCTCTAGGCTCTGCTATTAACTATTCACCCACTCCCCATTCTTACCACAATCACTAGTCCACAACCTTGAGCTTCTCAGGTTAAACACCTTGCTCACTCCTTTGAGTTACAACACCATCAATGGTAATGTTCAAACGCAATATTCTTGCAAGCTCTCATTAACTATAGATCGAATTTTGGAGTATGTATATGGGAAATTAAGGCCACTTTTGAACGATCCTAGCCTTTTAGCGTAACTGACGTTCCGTTCACTTGGACTGAATATAGAAATTAATTTCAAGTTTTACTTGGGTTAATTGTAAGTACACTATCAAAATGGTCTAAATTGTCATTTCAGATACATGTTTCGATTAGTTAAAAAAACAGGAATGTATTAAAAACAATTGAAATAAATTTTCGCTTGCCTTGTAGAGGTGAGTTTTCTTTAATGATTGACAAAGATAGAATTTCTATACATTCATAATGAAGCTTATGTTTTCAACACATTCGTACCTGATGTTAGCAGTTGGCTTAGCCACTGTTTTTGATATTAGACCTTAAGATCACAGGTTCAAATTTCGTTGTTTCTTCCCTCCCACCTCTGTAACTTTGCATGACTAAAAAAAACCCGTCCATACCCATTTAAGTCTTTAGGCTACGATCCTCACCTTTCGTCTCGTTGCAGTCTCAAACTTTGGTGAGTCCGAATCAGACAAGGACTAAATCGTGGACGACTCACTATAAGAATAGATCTGTAGATTGATTGAAATGTTCAATTTACTTGATTTACGGTATGTTTATTATTTTTGATACTTTTCATGTGGATTATTAATTATATGAACTTGGATATATCTATTTACAAGTTATCTATTGATCGATATGCTAAGAATATGTTTGCTTTGGCAAATTGATTTGAGTTACAATTATGATGCATATTAAATTGACGCCTGATGTAGTTGTTGAATTGAATTTGTGAATTAGTGGTCTGTATTGTCAATTGCATATGCATCTGAATGTGTAAATACCAAATCAATGGATTGCGGCTAACATATCCATCCTCTGCTATCAAAGTAGTCCTGTTTGTTAGGAATAAAGGTGTCAAACATGCCGTGTTGATCGTGTTCGTGTCATGTCATTTACGGATTTGTGTCGAGCATTGGTCAATGTGAACTCAACTCATTTAATTAATTATGTCGTATGTCGACCCGACCTATTTATTTTTTTGTCATGTTCGTATTGATCCATATAACTTATGAATCAAAAATTTAACACTAAAATTTGATTGCCAAAGAGCAACGGTCACAATGCACCACTTCTTTAACATGGCATGCAATACAAACCCAAAAACACGAGCCACACAAAAACAAAAAAGATCATGGAAACCAGTGACCAAACACGAGCCACACAGTCCTCCCTCAATGTTTCCCTTCAGTTCCGATCAATTTCTTCTTGATTACCAGCAACTTAGTTACAATTTCTTTGGTGTTCAACCTTTCACTTGGAGTTTCTTCTGAACACGCGTGTCCAATTCGAAATATTGAAATCAAGCACTCCTGAATTTTGTAACTAGTAGCACGGCTCTCTTTCTAAGGCCGGGGATTTGTGCTCGTCTCTCCCACTTCGTCGTGTCGAATAAGCCCTGAATCAGCAACATCTGCTACTCTTTCCGGCAAAACCATCCTAACATAATTATGAAGGTTCAAATTGTCATCAAACATCTCATCAGTAGGCTTTTCTCATATAAACATCTCCAACAATACGATGCCTTAGTTGTACACATCCCCAGGCATCGACGGCTCACTTCCCAAGCCATACTCTAAAATCCAAATACCACAGTGTAAAAAAATAAATGTAAAGAAATTTGATCAGAAGTTTGTCAAAAATGGACAAACTTAATTAGCTATGTACTTTTTACTCAAAATACAAAAAACTGTACAATTAGTTTTACAAGTATTCAGCTATTAAATCATTAAATTTAAAACCGGATGATAATGATGGGAGGGGAGAGAAAAAAAAATGAGTTGAGGGAACTATATACTAGACCGGAGGATGTTATTATATCGACGTGAGACAACTATCAGATTGTTGTTTGAAGATAACATGGTGTAATGCTTAATTTCCTTCATAAAAATGCCACCACTATTTTTCTATCTTGGGGGACTAAGACAAAACTAGAAAAAGCATGAACAGAGAAGTAAGTCAAAGCTGTACATAAGTAATAGGCTACAATAATTAGAAGGTTGTTTAGTAATGCTTCTTAGAATTCGAGTGACGGAGCACAATCTCGGACAAAAGCTACTTACAAAATGTACTTAAAAAGAGCAAAAAAAGTGGGCATAAAGTATTACTATTGAAACATTAGCCTCTTCTAGTTAGAGAAGCACACATTTCGGGGGGTAGAAATTTGTTGTATATTTGGAAAAGTAATGAATACAACGAAGAAAGCATACTTACCTGGTGCAACATAACCAATGGATCCTCTTAGTCCAATTGAACTACTTGTTTGTTGTGCAGAGTTGCTATAACTAGCATTCAGAAGAGATCGTGCTAACCCAAAGTCACCAACATGTGCAACCTTGTCTTTGTTGAGAAGAATGTTGTTTGGCTTCAAGTCACAGTGAATTATTGGAGTGTGGCAATGATGATGAAGATAATTCAGAGCGTAAGTTACATTTAAGCCAACATTCAATCTCTGAAGAAGACTTAAATTTTTGGACTCCCCACTTGGCTCGTATTCTCCTTGAACTCATAAACCAGTGCTTTAAAATCATTCCCTTGGTAATCGGCACCTGAACATGCAGTGACTACGTTGACAAGATTTCGATGTCCAATGTTCCTCAAGGCCTCGCACTCGGAAAGAAAACTCTTGGAAGCCCCTTGGTGAGAAAGGTTAAGGACCTTTACGGCAACTACACTTTCATTTCCATTCTGGTCCTCAAGAACTCCTTTATACACAGAACCATAACTACCCTCACCGTAAATTTCCTAATGAGAACCCATTGGTAGCTTTTAGGAGACTCTGAAAAGACATTTTAAAGAGGGAATTTCTGGAAAATCTGAAGATGTCGCTTTTCTTGGCTTCCTAAACCAGTAAAGATAGATAAAGTACAACGCCAAAATTACTCTTAGAAGCCACAAGAAAAAAGAAACTACTAATTTAACAATGAAAGTTGGCCTACTTTTCTTCAACTCTTTAATCTTGCATCTAGGTAATCGTAATTTAGGTACCCCCCACAAAGCTTACTATTTCCCATAACATATGTTGCGCTTGCATATTTGAAAATGCCTTTGATTGGTACCTCACTATCAAAGTCATTGAAAGATAGATTTAGCTCCTTCAGTTGAAAATCTATCAAATATTCTGGAATTTTTTTTGACAAATTATTGCGTGAGAGATCCAATTCTTGAATACCTCTCAAAAAACTTAAAGACGAAGGAATAGGCCCTCAGAAGGAGTTTCTTTGCTTGTAAAGGACTTGTAACATTACACAACTACTAAGTGTGCTCGGAATTTCACCAGATAACATATTGTCAGAAACGGCCAATTGACCTAAATTTTTCAAGTTTCCCACCTCCGGGGGAAGGGAACCACTCAAATTGTTTTGAGATAGGTCTAGGTATATCGATAAGGATGAGAGACAAAGAACCTCCAGAGGTATGGTGCCACGAAAATTGTTAGCAAAAAGATCCAACGATAACAAATTCTTCCATTTTCCCAAACTTGTGGGGATGCTGCCCTGAAAGTTGTTTTCACTTATCCTGAAGTCGAGTAGAAGGCTTAAGTTTCCAACGGAGAATGGAATAAAACCAGTAAATTTGTTTCTATCAAAATACCATACATTTAGCTTTTTAAGTTTACCAATATCAGGTGGGATGTTGCCTATGAGTTGGCTGTCAGACAGAACTAGAGAATTCAAGTTTATNTACCATACATTTAGCTTTTTAAGTTTACCAATATCAGGTGGGATGTTGCCTATGAGTTGGCTGTCAGACAGAACTAGAGAATTCAAGTTTATAAGACTATCCCAGCTGGAATGCTTCCAACTATATAATTGTCATTAAGACAGAATACTTCGAGCATTGTTGACAAGTTGCAGATGGATTCGGGAAGTCTTCCACCAAACTTATTATGGTACAGATTCAACTCCGTTAAGTGGGTGGCATTTGTCAAAGAAGAGAGAAAGCCCAAGTTGTCTGGTCCATCACTTCCAAAACTGTTCCAACCAATGTCTACAAACCGAAGCTTATGTAGCTTTTCCATAGTTAGCACTTTTCCATTAAAATTGTTGAAACTGATTAAAATAACTTCTAGATTTTAGGCATTGGTTATTGAATTAGGGATTGACCCAGTAAATTGGTCACCACTTACGCCAAGAAATTGAAGATTAGGAAGAGTGATGCCTATATCAAAGGGAAGGCTACCATGCAGGTGCTTATTATCTGTCACATCAAAACCTGTGAGGGAAGAGAGATTAAGATTGACGGAGGGATGGCACCAGACAATCTACTTCCGTCNCCTATATCAAAGGGAAGGCTACCATGCAGGTGCTTATTATCTGTCACATCAAAACCTGTGAGGGAAGAGAGATTAAGATTGACGGAGGGATGGCACCAGACAATCTACTTCCGTCTAATGCAATCACTGTCAAGTTGCCCAGATGACCAAGAGAATCGGGGATACTTCCACGAAAACTATTTCCTGATGCATAAAGCTCGTTAAGAGATGTTAAGTTTGCAAAAGAATGAGGAATATCTCCAGTTAGACCATTGAATTGGATTACAATTTTTGTGAGCTTTCACAATGAGCCTAGCTCTACAGGAACTGCCCCTACCAGCTTGTTGAAACCAAATTTGAAGTAAATAAGACTAGAGCAACTAGATAAGTTGGCAGGAATATTGCCACTAAACGAATTATTATGTAGGTCTAAAATTTTCAGCCTTGACAAACGTCCAAGTTCTGAGGGGATTTCATGAACAAGACTGTGGTTTTGGAAATCTAGTTCTCTAAGGAAGCTTAGATTCCCGATGTGTGGCGGCATGGTCCCAAATAATGCTTGGTAACGAAGGTCCAACTTGGTGACCCTTTGGTGGCGTCAAGCACATGTAACACCGTGCCATTCGCAGAAGGGGGCTGATCCATTCCATGAGCTCAGAACCTCGAAGGGATCATCAATTATGTTTGCCTTGAATGCAAGCAAAGCAAAGAAATTACAAGTGCTCAGGAACTAATATAAAACATGGATATCAATCATTCCATAACTTGCAACAATTAAACTATATTAGATGTTGCACCTGTGCTTGGATTTAAGTTTTAAGATTCTGAATTCCTCTTTTCCCACAGAATTTAATGAGGAGGAAGAAAAAGGAAGAGAAAATTCCCAAACTGTAACCACCCAGATAAGTGAAGAAGACATTCAGTCCCCTGGCTGGATTTTTATGCACTTGCTTCCCCCAATTTCTCTTAAAAATGCAAGTCGACATGGTACCAGGAAAGATAGACTGTTTGTTGCCTGTGCGACTTCATCCGGACCGAAAATGAGATTAATTAAAATGTGTATAAACTGACCCATATATTCTTGATTGTTAAAAAAAATTCATTAAAAATGACTTGTTCATGTATACCAACGGAAAAATAGCACCGCCCAACTAAAAGCTGCAGGTCTCATGCTCCAGTAGCAAATCTTCGAATCTCCCATACCCGATCTTGGATCCACCGTGACCCACCACTTTGATAAACCATTGCATGCTTTTTTTTCTATTCCAATAAAATTCGTCTCCAAGGTACACCAATCCCTTTAATCACCCAGGAGAAGAGCTTCAACTTTTTCAAGCATGTGAAAGAGTTCAAATGCTTTGGGTGAGTGGGTTCAATTGAAAATATTAATAGAACCTATTCATCTAAAAGATGATATGTACTTGAATTTTATTTAGTCCAACCACAAGGCCAATAACATTCAGGTTTTAGGCTCCATATTTATAAAGTCTCAAAATTTTTAAATGTATAGTTAGTCCAAATAGCATTTCCCGATTACAAAAAAAAATGATTCATAAGATTTTAGACCCCAAAAAATATTTATAATCAAAAATAAATTTGAGTGTTTTGTATTCATGAATCCATCCCATAATATTAAACATACACCAATTTTTTTAAAAAAAAATTTACTAGAGGTCAACCAAAACAGACAACTCATTCGTAATCATCTCTCTCACTCTCTCTCACTTATTCTCTGTTGAACACAAAATTTTTTTTTTTAATTTGTGTTTGGAAAACTATACTAAAATATTTTTAGTATTTTATTTAACTTAAAAAATTAAAATCATAATTGTTTAAAAATATGGTAGCGAAACTTAAACATAAAAACTAATAACATTTTTAATCTCAAAAAAATAGTAAGAATAAATTTTAAATAAAAATTATTAATATTAAAAATAAAAAGTTTCAGTTTTAATTGTGACTTTAGACTTCAAATATTCTTGGGCTCCCACCCATAAGGAAATACCAAAAAAAAAGAGCAATGTTATAATACCCGAGGTAAAAAATAAATGAAATAACAATAATAATAATAATAAAAATAAAAGTGAATAAGTTGAATTTGAGAAATTTTAGACTTTTGTTTGGCTTGGGTCTATCCTTATGGGCTTATGGATATGATTTGGAAATCAGTAGAGATAATTTAGTTTTTTTTTTTTTTGTGTAAGGGGAAATATCATAGAGACCTATTAGGACTATTATACATGTGATTTAAATAGGGTAGTATAGTTGGATAGGTCAAACCCTTCGTATATATATAAATGTATTTAAGTTTGTAGGTTTTATTGGTGAGAAGGCTTGTGGAGGGGCTGTCCCATGAACAAAGAAGAAGAAGAGAGAGAGAGAGAGAAGAAGAAGAAGGAGGAGGAGGAGGAGGAGGAAAGAAAGAAAGGACTTAAATCCAATAAATGTATGAATTTATTACTTAATTTATGGGTTTTGTATTTTATTTAATCACATAGTGTTAGGTTTATCGTAAGTAGTAATATCTCTATATATATATATATGTTCATGGTGAAGAATATTGATGAATATATAAATGAAAGATGCTAATTTAAGTGTTTTTTAGACCTAATTTAAATTGGTTAATCTTGAAGCTATAAGGAATTAATCAATGTGTAAAAAGGACAAAAAAAAGGAAGGGGGGGGGGGAGAGGAAGTTACAAGTTACAGGTTCTGCCGTAGAAAAGACCAAATTCATATATTATAGAAAGCTCCCTTTTAGTTTCAAAGAGTTTTATTTTGACCCCTATATTCTTCTAAACTTAATTTTAACCACTGTTTTACTTGGTAAGTTAGAAGAATAGAATTTTAGAAAATTTATGAAAGTCCCAAAAATAGATAATTCGTTTTTTAAGAAAATTATACTACAACCCCAAAAGTTTTAAAAATTATAATTTGACCCTAAAACTTTAGAAATTTTTTTTGAACAGTCCATACTACTTCTATACCCTATTACCTCGTATTAGAAAGGATAGTTATATGTAAAAGATATATTAAGAATATATATCAATGGATAGGAAATATGTAAATTAAATATAAAATCTCAGAATGATGAAACTAGGAATAGAGATTGATCGTTATATGTTATTTTGGATTAAGTGGTGATTTCATTGAGGTTGGGAAAGAGAGTTTTGAATTAGATTTTGGGAATCAAGGTGAGTAGTTTATTACTTCTTTTGGGAGGATTTTTTATATTAAATGTGTGGATGCGTGCGTGTGAATTTTTTATATGTTTGATATATGTGTTGATGTTTGAGATTGCAATTAAATGTTTTAAAATTGTGAACTATTATACATGTAAATTTTGGAAAACTTGTGGATGATTTTATATCATTGTTAGGGAAATTTTGTGTGCATTACTAAAACTACAGTTTTTGTGTGTATGAAAATCATTTTTATGAGATGGGGACTGGGGTTACCATATCTAAGTGGTAACAAGAGACTGAGTCAATCATCAGGCTAGTGATGACAAGAGATTGAGTCAGTTACCAGGCTAGTGAAAACATGAGACGGAGCCAATCATCAGGCTAGTGATAACAAGAAACTGGACCAGTTACCAGTTTAGTGGTAACAAGAGACTAAATCAGTTAACAAACTAATGGTAACAAACATGATTTGACAAATATATTTGGAATTGAATGTGTGTGAGTATTTTGGGTTATACATGTATTTTAATTTATAAAGTTATTTGTGAAAATGAGTGGTGGTTTGGGTTAAAAATATATTTTCATTTATAAAGTTATTTGTAATTATGAAATCATTTTGTTTAAATGATTATGAGGGAGGGGTTGGGGTACAATTTGTTGTACTTATATGTGTATCAAAGTTTATTTTTGTACATAAACTTTGGAATTTATTTTCATACCTTATTTGAGGTGGTTTCTATTCACGGATCATTGTACTCATCCAAGCATTTAACATTTTCATGTGAGAATCAAGGTGAGAAGTAAGTCCACAAATAGACAAGAGATTAGAGGAATCGAAGATTTATTTTATTGTAGGTCTTCAGAAATAAAAGTCTTTTATAGTTTTGAGACAAATGTTTAATTGTTTTGGAAACAATATTGTTTATGTTTAGAGCAGTAAACTTTATAGTTTAATTATTGGTTTACATGAGTTTAGTTATGATATTAGTAATGTTTAGTTTATTCCTCTGGTAGTCATTAGGTCTGTGGAATAGATCACTTTATTATTTGTCTTCCGCTATATTTTGCATTTAGTATGCACATAGATGGTTGATTAAGGCTTTGGTGGCCGGTCTGCCCCCTATGTGATCCGAGCTGGAGGTGTGACTAAGGTCATTGGGGGCGTAATCTAAAAACTTAATGATTGTGGCCGTTGAATTGTCAGTGGATCTCAATATTAATGTATCACTACATCTCATTATTATCAATCCAATGATCATAATGCATTAAATTCCCAAATTATATTCCTAAATTATGTTCCAATAATATTAGTGTAAAAGAAACATCCATAGTCACACGAAATCCATTTTTTTACCCTGTCTGTCCTGTAGTTTTTTCCTCCATTATTGAAAAGGGGAACTTTGAAAGATAGAGAAGTAAAAAAGGTTGTCACCCACTAATCCCTTGAAATGACTCAACTCTAGAGTTAAGCTTATCATGATTAAAGTCCCCCGTCATGTGAAATAATAGCATATTCTTTGTAAGTAATTGGTAATTAGTATGGGTATCTTGGTCTTTTTAATGGGTAGTGTCCTTCTCGTCTTAAAATCTCAAAATGTGAACTGAAGACTTGGAAAGTTAAAAATTGAGTACTTGTTATCAAATTTTATTTTTTCTTTTTTGTCAATCATAACCCCACTTTCTTTAATGTGATATTTACTAGATGTGGTGGCTATTGCAATAGTCCGGTCATTAGGTTTTTGTTTGTTTATCATATCTAACATTAACTCAAATTTGAGTAACAAAAAAATCCACTAAAAATGTCTTGTTCATGTATACCAACGGAAAAATAGCACCACCCAACTAAAAGGTGGGTCTCATGCTCCACTAGCAAATCTTCGAATCTCTCGTAGCCGATCTTGGATCCTTCGTGACCTACCACTTTGATAAATCATTGTATGCTTTTTTTTCTTTTCCAAGAAAATTCGTACACCAATCCCTTTAATCACGCAAGAGAACAGCTTCAACTTTTCCAAAGCATTTGAAAAACCCTACTAAAAAAATTAATAAGATTCATTCATTCAAAAGATAATATGTATTTGAATTATAATTTTTTATGTTCAATTTAAGTTGTGTAGCATTACTTTTTTATATATGTTTGTCTCCCTTAAAATCACCGCTAAACATTCCACGATGCCGATTCAACCACAAGGCCAATAAAATTCAGGTTTTAGGCTCCATATTTAAAGTAAGTCTCAAAATTTTTAAATGTATATTTAGTCCAAATTAAAAAAAAAATTGATCCATAAGATTTTAGACCTCAAAAAAAAATTGTAAGAATTGAAACAAAATCAAAAATAAATTTGAGCATTTTGGACTC